ACGGCGGGGCTGCGGCGGCTCCGCACAGACCGGCCCGGTACGGCCCGGCCCGGCCCGGTACGGTACGGCCCGGCCCCGCGCGGGGTCGCCGGGTACGCGCCCCTCGCTCAGGTGCCAAGGCTCCCGCACCACCCTGCCCACGAGCGACCTCTCTCCCTCCCCGCCGCCTTACAGGTGTATTTGAAAATATCCGCTCCCTATGGGTGTCCTCCTCCCCTTCCCGCGGTGTCCCTCTCGCACACTCCTTAGAGGTGACCTCATCTCCACCACCATTGTTGACCTTCCTCTCATTCCCACAAGTGTCCCCCTTACAGGTGTACTTGTCCATATCCCCACGGGTGTCCTCAGCCCCCTCTACACAAGTGTTTTCAACCCCACCAGTTACCTCATCCCCATCCCCACAGGTGTCCTTGCCCCTATCCCCACTGGTGACCTCAACTCCTTACCCATGGGTTTCCTCCCTCCTTCCCATGGTGCCCCCTCCACTCCTTACAGGTGTGGATATCCCCAGTGGTGACCTTGCCCCTCTCCCCAAGAGTGTCCTCCCCTCCTCCCCACAGTGCCCTTCCCCCCTTACAGGTGTATTCACCCATATCCCCACGGGTGTCCTTGCCTCCCTCCCCACCAGTGTCCTCAGGCCCTTCCCCACAGGCGTCCTTGTCCTTTCCCCACAGGTGACCTCACCCCCATCCCCACAGCCATCCTCACCCACATCCCCAATGGTGTCCTTAGCCCTTCCCCACAGATCTCCTTGCCTCATCCCCACAGGTGTTCTTGCCCCTGTTCCCATGACCACCCTTGCTCTCATCCCCACAGCCACTCTCACCCCCTTCCCACTCCCACCCAGCCCACCACCCTCACACCCCACAGCTGCTCTCACCTCTTTCCCGGGAGCCACAGACAGAAAGGCTCATGTTGGACCCAGCGCTGCTCTGTGGGTGGGCACGTAGAACCTGCCTCCTCCTCCAAGAAGTCCCCACCAGCTGGGCCAGGCATCACGAGGGCCCCAGGGGAAGTGATGCCGGCAGCGCCAGAGGTTGCACAAGCCCCTCTGGAAGGGAAGGGACACAGTGGAGCGTCAGGACTCCAGCACTGTGCCATGACTTGCACTTACAAGGTTAGGGCAAGGTCAGACTTGTTAACCCAGAACTCTTCACCTTTCAAGAGGCTACAAGGAAATGAGCTGGAAATGGTGGATGGAGAGGACAGAGGGTGGCCAGGGAGTGATTGATTGTCATTCCCAAAGAACTTTGCAGTGACCAGGCAGCGAGACTGACACAAAGCCTAGGAGGATGAAGCAGGTCTGGGCTCAGGACTTGGGGTGACAAGGTTCCTACTCCCAGGGCAGAGAAACTCCCACCAGGCTGGCTTCTCCCCAATAGTCCTAGGAAGCAGGTCCCCACAGTGCCAGGAGTGATGTGGACCAGGACTTCTGAGCATGGGGGGGGACCATGGACCAGCTAGAGAAGAGGCTGTGAGGGGCTCTCACTTCTCTGCTGAAATTTCTCTCCTCTGGGGCTGTAGCAGTGCTTATGGGCTGACCAAGGAAAAGCGAGGCCATCAGGGATGTCTCTCCTAAGTGGCAGCATGGAAAGGCACAAACAGGTCATCAGGATGGCAGAGAGAAGCAGTTGTGGCTGAGAGTGGTCATGGATCACCTCCACAGGGCAGGGCTGGGCCATGCAAGGGTCTGAGGGACTAAGCAAGGCTGAAGGTCCCTCTCCCTGCTGCTTTTCTCTTAGAACAGATGAGGAAGAAGGTGGTAGGAAAAAGCCAACCCAACACAACTGGTAAATACAGGAAGGATTTTCTCTCTCCATGTCCTTTCCTCTGTGCAGGATGGGACAGTTATGCTGCAAAAGCAAGAAAACCTGCTACATCCTGTCCATCCAATGTGATCCTGAGCAACCCCTGCTCCAACCAAGACTGGTCTTTTCCTTTCATGGATACAGAAAAGGTGATGCCTAGCTCATCTCCCCAGCTGTCTGAGATCATACGGACCCTCCTTTTTCCTGATTTCTTAGGGGTCCAGCCAGGCATTTGGAAATACACACTTGCAGGTTTAAAACCTATGAATGATTGCAAATGAAGGTTCTGGCTGAATATGTGCCAGCAGCTCTGTGCCACGCCTGTGCTGCAGAGTTATTATCCATGCAGCACAGGCAGCTAATAAAAATGATCATTAAATTAACCCCAGCACTTTCCTAGAGCTAAAGATGACAATTCTGGTTGATGCAGCATCTCTTCAAACAGCTGGAGGTTGCTGCATTACCTGTAGACTGTTTCTCCAGGCTTCAGAGAGAGAATCCTTCTCCAAATACCTGCTCAAAAAGTCTGTCATATTTGTCCTCTATCAGAGCCCTGCCCTGGCACGGTCTGTGTGAATATCTGGGGAAGAACCAGGGGTGAGAGCTTGTTGTCAGAGTGCAGGAAGAAGCCTGTGATTTTAGGAAGGGAGGACCTTATGGGCGCAGGGTGGGAAAGGGAAGGATAAATTGTGCGAGAGGAGTGAGAAAACATCTGCGACGTGCTGTGAGTCAGTGCTGGATTTGCAGGCAGAGGAGGAAAGCTTTGCTAACAAGGACTGAATCCTTGTGGCTGGCTGGCTTAGGCTTCAGCAGCTAAACATGTTTCCAAAGTGAGACGGGAGCAGAGGGCACTGTCACTCTCTGTGAGCAGAATGACGGGAGAGCAGATGTGAGAGGAAGCTGTCCCAGCAGGGATAGGCACAAGAACCATTCAGAGCCTGAAAGGGCAGAAAAGAATACAACCCCCCCGTGCGTCTGGGGGGAGGATTAAACACCACAGCAGGCTTTGTCTCATCACATCTGAGCTAAACCTGCGCTCACCATCCAGGTTTCCCTCCACTGCTGGGGTGAGGCACTGAACCATGTTGTAACCAGGGTGGGAAGGGACCCCTGGGGGTCTCTGGTCTAGCCCCCCACTTCAAGAATGATGTCAATCATCTGCTCAGCACCTTGTCCCCTCCACTGTCTCACAGGATGGAGATTGCCCATTTCTCTGGGACTCTGTGGTACTGTTTGATCTCCGTCACAGGCCAACTAATTTTCCTAACATCTAATCAGAACTGTCCTCCTTGCCCCTTGCATTTTGGCCTCTCAGTCCATCACTCTGCATCTCTGAGTCTGTACCTTCTTGTGAGGTAGTGAAGGAAACAAGAAGGTCTCTGTTTAGCCCTTCCCTGAAGCCTGAAACCCAGCTTCTCTCACCCTCTCCTCCTATGTCAGGTGCCTGAACTCCCTCAATCTTTTTGGTGGCCTTCACTGGACTCATTCTAGTAAATCAGTGGCTTTCCTATATTTGGGACTCTGCAATCAGACATAGTTCCAGGCCCAAAGCAGAGACCTACCTGTTCTGGACACCCTTCTCAGGTGGGCTGGGCTCTGTTCTATCAGATCAACATGCCAAGAGTTTGGGCTCATGGTGAAATAATGTCTAATTCATATGCTGGGGCTTGAATTCAGGTTTCCTGAAGCTGTGGGACCTGAAAGTCTTCCTCCTCCTTCCAGAGAAAGGGATGGGAGCAAGAGAATGCTACATTGCGTCCTCCCAGCCCAGCATCCTCCCTCCCACATTTGGGCGGCAGCCAGGGCGCAGTGAAGGGTGTGAGATCAGGGCACACACACTGAATATTCTTATGTCGCTCAAACGCTTCTTGAGCCAAAGGTAGTGTCTTCATCCTGCATAAACCTCAGGAGATTTTTCCTTCCACGCATTTGTCCTGTGGATTTTATTAACCCCTACTGAGCAGCCACAGCTGTGTGTGGGAGCAGCTTAATGCCAAGAGGATGGAGGAAGCATCTCCCTTTTACTGACTTTACCTCCTGCTAATTTCACTTGATGCCCCTGGTCTTGTTCTCCTTGTCCCTCACAGCTGTGTATGCCTCAGTCATGGCACCTCAGTTCATTCTCCCAGGCTGAAGAGTTGCAGTCTGTGTAGTTATTCTTCATGCAGCAGCCAGGCTGGACCTTGGCTCATCCTTGCTGACCTTCTCTGTGGCTTAGGTTTGGGGTTTTTTTTGGGTCTACTGTACTCTGTTAGAGATGGATTATTCCTAAGTGGCATTAGCCAACACAGAGCCCACTGCTGCCTATCTAAAATGACTATTGTGGTTTCCCCAATGGATCATGTTACGTTTGTTTTATGCAATTTCATCTGCTATTTCACTGACTGGAGAAGACAAGGTCTTCAGTCAGCCCTCTGGGACCACCTTTCCTTATATTTCTTAGGACCACATCCAAATGTCTTAGGGAGGTCCATCGCCTTTGCCAAGATTAAATATCTTCTCTGGTATTCAGCCATTTACGTGCCTAATAATGTGATCACCTGCCACCATAGTGCACCCTGTGATCACCTGTATGGGTGATGCACACACTGTCTGTGTCCGTGCACATCCTTGTGCCAGTGCCTATCCAAAGTCACCCTTCAAATCACAGTGTTAGCTGGGAAAAGGAATCAGGAATGTCCTGCTCCAAGTGATCCATCACCTGCCCCTGATTGCTGTTCATCCGCTGCCTCTCCCGCCCCAGGAGGATCAGCTCAAATCCTGTTCTCTTTCCCAGTCTGGAGCAATTTGCCATCATCTCCCTGCTCCTGCAGCAATCACTGCTGTGCAGCTGTGCACAGGCAGTGATCCACAGTGAATCTGCTCTATCCATCATTCCAGGGCTAGAGGGATGCGATGCCACTATGTGCTTGCAGCGCATGATGCAGCAGCTTGACAGGCAAGAGGAAGGCAGAACAAGAATAAATCCAATTTTACTACTCATTATGTTTTCATTTGGTATTAAATCACTGCTGGTAATAGTTTGTGACATGTATCTACCTTTTATAGCCCTGTTTTGTGCTATCTTTTCCATGGAGACTATAAATACCATCACAGACCTTCTCCTGAGCATTCTGGGATAAAGAGCAGGCTGCCAAGGCATAAGACCCCAGTGTGAGGACGTGACTGCTGAGTGGTGCCACCAGCAAGGGTGGGTGCCACCAGCAAGGGTGGGAGCCTCATGCCTGCAAGAAATCAGTGGAGGTTGTAGCTGATCCTGAGAGATCATAGAACCATGGAATATCCTGAGCTGGAAGGGATGCGCAGGGATCAAGTCCAACTCCTGGCCCTGCACAGGACACCCCAACAATCCCACCCTGTGCCTGGGAAGATTGTCCAAATGCTCTTTGATCTCTGGAAGCCGTGGGGCTGTGATCACTGCCCTGGAGAGCCTGTTCAGTGCCCAACCACGCTCTGGGGGAAGAACCTTTTCCTGAGATC